TCTAAACGTAATTGGTGTGAAGTTGATCTGCAAGTAAGCTTGATGAAAGAATGACGCCTTACCAGTATGGATGTTTCAGAGATTGTCTTGAAATTTGTGTATAGTCCTCTAATACTGGAAAAACATATGAGGTCTCTTTTCGCACATGGCGTCAATATAAAAATCAACTGTGTACTACAAATACTCCCATTTACCTGAGAATTTTACTTAGTACTAGTAGGAAGAACTAGTACTGGCGAGGAATCATGCTCCTGTCGATCCCAAGTAAAATCCTGAGTCGCATCATCCTGGAGAGAATAAAGGAAGCACTGGATACAGAATTCCGACCAAAACAAGCTGGATTCAGGAAAGGCAAATCATGTTCTGACCATATTTCAACTCTACGCATCATCATCATCATGGAACAAAGCATGGGATGGCAATCAAACCTCTACCTCAACTTTATAGACTTTGATAAGGCATTCGACAACATTGATCGCGAAGTAATTTGGAAACTACTCGAGTACCACGGCGTACCCCAAATATTCATCAACCTTATTCAACAGCTGTACGACAACGGTGGTACATGTCAAGTGATCCACAACGGAAAACTCAGCGAGGCGTTTGGAGTAAACACAGGAGTCAGACGAGGGTGCTTGTTATCTATCACCAATGATATCCCTAATTGTGGTGGACTGACTGGATTATGCGTCAGACAGTGGGAAACGAGAAGACAGGAATATCCTGGACCGACGTGAAGAACCTAGAAGACCTGGATTTCACGCGTGGATGATTTATGTTTGATGTCACACAAAATCGAAGACTTACAAGCGAAAACCGACCGACTGACAAACTGGTCGAAGAAGCAGCTGGCGAAGACAGGACTCCATGTGAACATAGACAAGATGGAGGGTATGAAAATAACCAACCAACCAACAACAACAGCAGCAACATCCAGCGCCAATCACCATCAATGGGAGGGATTTGAAAGAGGCTACTTCCTCAATTCACTTATCTAGGGAGCATTGTCTCAACTACAGCCAGTCGGAACGGACGAGGATGCCAAATCAAGGCGAGAAACACATCTTCATCATCAACCTGAAACCAATCTAGAAATCTTCGTCACTCAGCCACATCAACAACAAAATTCAGTCGGATTTTCAGTACAAACAACGTCAAGTGACTCAGCTCTTCTATACGGATCAGAAACTTCGCGGGCGGGTCACAAAGAATATTACCAACAGGCTATTACAGACCAGACCTTTATCAACAACTGTCTTCGCTGATTCTATACTGAAGATCAGATGGCCGGGCCGGAAACAATCACCAACAGGAAACTATGGGAACACACAAACAAAACAAGAACCAACCAATCGCCCAACAAATATGTAAGAGAAAGTGATGATGGATTGGACACTCGCTGAGGAGGCCGCTGGGTGAAATCGCGCGCGCATCAGTCCATTGCTCGAGTGGAACCAGACCGAAAGGGAAGCGGCGAGTGGGACGTCAGTGCAAGAGTGATATGGAGGAGATTCTGTGAAGAGGAGTTGAAACAGTATGTACTAACATGGATGCAGGTGAGAAGTACAGCAGAAGACAGAAGCAAGTGGGGACGTGCAATTGAAGCCCTATGTTCCACTAGGAACCCAAGGGAACAATAATAGTAATACTAGCAGGATCAGTGTATGCACTTTGTATACGAATATGTAAAATTATCTTTCATAACTAACTACGTGTTGTGCTAGTCTTTGCATACACCTTATTGTTTTAGGTAAATAGAGGTTTTTGAATTTGAAGTCAGCGAAAATGTCAGTGGATCAAAATAACTCTAATACCTGTTCATCGGAATTTTCTTCTGTAAATTAATTCAATGTATTTAGACAAAGCAATAAGAAGACGTAATTTGTCTGTCTGAATCGTGAAACTTATCAACAAACTCAAAGACAAAATACAGCCTTTGATTTAGACAGGTCTTTGAAAGTCATTTGGTGACTGCTATACCTTATTCGAACCGAAAGTATGAGGGTAGAAATACAGAACAAGAGAGTATCTAATTTCTCACAGCCTAGTTAGACTGAGAGGCTTCTTACTACCTTTGTCAGTACACTCCGTATGTATGCTAATGACTGAGTGGTTGGAATTCGATTAGATTGACTGATAATGTCTGCTGGCAGGTCAGTTCGAGCTTAACAGTTAGTTCGTAGGTTGAGATAACTAAACCAATTCAGACCAATTAAAAGCTGGCTAACTAGCGTCAGATCAAAAATTGACAAAAGACGTAATTTGCCTGTCTGAATCGTGTGTGGAATGTATTTGCGCGCGAAACACATTTCGAACAATCTGATCCATCACACACGGACTTGTCATAGGAATATATATGAAGTTAACAGAGTTAAGAGGTGAGAAAATAGACTACTTAAGTCAAGTTAAAAAGACATGTTGAAGGTCAAAATAACAATGAAGACCACTAAACCAAATAAGAGAGGTAATAAATAGTACATCTACCCTGGCTGGAATCAAAACAAAGTTTACCAAGGAAGTTGGTTTAGTGTGATGACGAATTGTTGTTTTGAAAGCATAAATGTGGTTTAAACTTTCTAATTGCTAGGGCTTCTACAAACTTTAGGATACGCCCGAAACACGTCTTATAGATAGGTTTAAAAGATCTGTTAACGTCAATTTTATATCCTGTCTCTAAAATATGTTTCACAATAAAAGAGCCAGGTCTCCTGTTTTCACCGTTAATTGGTTCTGAAACAATTAGAAAGTTTAAACCACATTTATGCTTTCAAAACAACAATTCGTCATCACACTAAACCAACTTCCTTGGTAAACTTTGTTTTGATTCCAGCCAGGGTAGATGTACTATTTATTACCTCTCTTATTTGGTTTAGTGGTCTTCATTGTTATTTTGACCTTCAACATGTCTTTTTAACTTGACTTAAGTAGTCTATTTTCTCACCTCTTAACTCTGTTAACTTCATATATATTCCTATGACAAGTCCGTGTGTGATGGATCAGATTGTTCGAAATGTGTTTCGCGCGCAAATACATTACACACACGATTCAGACAGGCAAATTACGTCTTCTTATTACTTTATCTAAATTCATAAAGAGAAATAATTGTTTTAAATTTTTGAAGAGAAGGCTCTCTCTACACACTATCAAAAGGTTGTTGTTAATAAATGAACTTGTCAACTATAGGTGTAAAAATTATCGTCGAACGTGACACGTTGGAATTTTATGAATTATGTATTAAAAACCATTCCTTCCCCGAAGCAATTTTATAAAACTTTGAAATTCAGTAAATCCCAACCAAATATCTCTCTAATCTTGTTCATCTTACAAAGAAAGTCACAAATCGAAAATGTTAGACAAACGTTGCAAGGACTACTTGTGTTCATCATACCGACCGATGTGTCACGCATTTTATCTGAATTATCAATAATATATATGCCACATGAAATTCCTTCAGGTTTGCAAAATCTGTTACTCAGAAAACAAATACGAATATACAAAATAAGTTGAAGAGTTCAACTGATGATCGAAACAGCGTAGATGTCTTCCCGGTGAATTCTGATGAGTACGTTACAAATATTTCTGATATTTGACTCTGTCTACTCTCATCAGAAAGAAACTTTATCCCCTTGGACTTAAATTTTGTGTTCCTTGCACGCAGTTTTTGACGGATTTATCCATCCATGTTGAGTTTGATAAACTTATATGACCCCCATCTTAAACCCCTTTCCTCAACATCGGTGTGTTGATTTAAGAACAAGATGGTGGATATAGATCACCAGTTTTTAAATAACAAAAACAACAACAATCTAAACCTTACTTGGCTACCTAACGGTGGAGCAGCAACCAATGAAGAGGAAAGGTTGAGAGGTGTGTGTGTATGTGTGACTGATATGTATCCATATGATGTGTGTTTTGTTTTTGACAGTGTTATATTTTGCTATGTGTATATGGATCGATATTCCATTATAATTGACAATATGCTTCTGTCTGTCCACTAACTAAATAAACAATGTATGACCTTATTATTACATGACATTACAACCAATCATGGTAAGACGTTATCTTATTGGTCCATGTGTATTAGCCATTTTCATATATACTCTTGCTTTATTATTCTTGTGTTCACACACATTTCGTACCATTTCACTCACACCCTGGTGTGACACTTATTTTCCTTGTCTGGAAAATACAAGTATCATCGTAAACCTCGTGGTCTTCTGATTTCCCTCTTTCCGCGTCAGGACTATTAACTACTCGACGAGTACATAACATAATTGGCGACGGGGAAAACTCTAATAACTCACTCGGTAGCTGTACGTAACAGTGACCAACAACATAAGCCCCCTCCTCTGCCCTTACTGCTGCTCCTGGTGCTACTAAGCCTTCAAAACTCAACCTTTCAAGACCTAATCATATTCGTTCCACTTGGAGCACAAAAAAATGACGAAAAAAACACACACACTTATAGAAATTTACAAGATTTTTTTATTCCAAAAAGAATAGCAAAATTCCAAAATGGGAGGGGATAAGAAAAAGTACATTCGCCACTCTATTTTCACCTTTTTCATCATACATTACAAGTTAATCTACTTAGAAACAAGATATAGAAGGCGGAAATGTCTTTGAATAAATCAAGTGGTGAACAACTTCCTCCAGCTTCGTCTCCACTCATACTGACACTGAAAGACGGTGAAGTGAAGACAGTTGAATTATCCATCTAATTGACATCTATATATCAATATACACAGTAATAGCCAAAAAAAGATAAAGAAATACCCATCACTGTCTCTCTCGCTCGCCCTCTCTCTCTCTCTCTCAACCTCATCTTCAACCCTTTCACAAAAGGCAAAAAGGGGAGTCAAAAAAATAAAAACAAGCGGAAAATGGGTGGGTTTTTGCGAGGAGGAGACGACAGCAGAAAAACAAAAGAAACAAAGAGAAGAAGAAATTCAACCTCAAAAATCCTCCCTCCCTCACTTGCGCACACTCACAGACAATCCTCATAACAACCATTGTTCCAATAAACATTTTCTCACATCATTATTCAATAATCCGCTTAAACTTTCCTCTAAAAATTTGAGAAGACAATTGCCATCATCTGTTAAATCAACTGGATAATAGTGAGAACTTGTCAATGTTTTAATACACTCATAGAATTTCAGTGGTTGACGACGACGATGGTGCCGCATCTCTCCACTACTCTTTCTTCTGCTTATCATCACTGTCTCCTCGTCATCACTATTATTACTCCTCATTTCTTCTTTTTCTATGGATAAATTCTTTTGTATTGCATAAAATACACTGGATAGAAGCATTTTTGTTATTTTTGTAAAACATTGAATTTTTAAACTACCCGCGGGTGGATTAAAAAAATAACATTCAATTGGTGTATTCAACGCTTCGATAGTTGTACCACCTATAGCATATACAATACCATTTAAACCAAGTGTAACTCTATGCCAATGACGATGAATAGGTTCACACTTTGTGAATGATGTTGATAAGGGGAATGATTGTGATAAAAGTGAATATTTTCTGGTTATTATTTCTGATAGAAAAGATAATTTCTCGTCTGTATCCATTTTAGATAAGGTTGTAATCGACTACTACTACACCAATTACACGTGGATTGAATTATCTCTGATAAGTCATATACAAAACGATCATGCATAAAATTCTGTGTAAATTGTTCATAGATCTGTGCCAATTGTTCTGTAGGCATAATGATCATATGTATTGGAAGCAATGAGATAAACTTATTAATTAATATGGGATTATTAAAATCTAGTGAATAAACTTTCATCCTCTTAGAATACGATAATGCCGCTGCCCACGATACCGACGACGAAGTTGTCAATAACCATGGTAAGGGGGATCTTTCCGGGGAATATTCACAAACACCACATCGAGTGATTAAAGCTTTAATTAAATATTTACTCGTTTGATTTGGTAACCACCAGGAATGATTGTCGCCTTCTTCTTCTCCTTCTTGTAATAACATATGAAATATTTGCCAGGGGAGCATAAATTTCAACAGAATGCCTATCATGATGATTAAACTGAATGCTACAGTCTGCTGCTGCTCCTGCTGTTGTTGTCCTTGATGATGTAGAGATTCATAACAATTTGCACACAGCTGATTCACTATCTCTATCAATCGACTACAAGGAAAGCATTCTTCTTCTCCTGCCAAAGACGATGATGGTGAAGAGGTCGACGACAACGAGCACGACGAAGATGAAGACAGTATAGTATACCGACAATAATTTTTTACAAGATATTGTATAAACATAGTATGCATTAAAGCGATACGATAAAGTACACTTTTTGGATGATTTATTGTCTCGTTATTGTTGTTGTTGTTCCCGTTGTTGTCCAATTTCCCCGCCTTGTTGATGACATTGAAAGACAACTTTTGATAAACAAATAAATGATAGTTTATATCGTGTAGAAAAAGTTTTAGATAATCGATTTCATTGGTAATTGGACCATCGTTATTATTACTACTACTTATACTGCTTGCCTTGAGCAAATCAGTAGTAGAAGAAGAGGAAGAAGACACTGAACAGGAATAAAGTGATTCAATCAGAGATATGTAGTAGGTTTCATTTGATAAGACTTCACCTTCAGGCGTTACAAATAATTTAGTGCATTCATGATAAGCTGAATAATTACTAAACTCATTATTATTATTATTATTTAAACATTTAAAACCATCGACAACTGCTGGTTGACTATTACAATCATGTATTGATTGAATAAAAGAGGTAGACGTGTTTGAAATGTCTTGATCATGACAATTTGTTGTATTTGTAGTAGTGGTAGTAGTAGAGTTGCTAGAAGTACTCCTCCTTTGACTTGTATACGTCTTCTTTGTAGAATTGGCTATCTTAGCCTCTATGGATTTATGCTTTCTACAAAAATGAATATCTATTAGATAGGCATCATTTAAAGCTTCATTGAGATTTGACCAACCACCAAGAAGAAATAATTGAGCTGTTGCTGTTCTGTTGACTGGATCATCACCGCCTACATCACCATCCTCACCATCATCATTATGATAATAACAGACATTGCATACAGAATCATCATCCATCAATAATGCTGGCGATGATTCATGTATCACTGTCATATCCATCCATGATCTACCACATGGCCAAATACTTGTAGACACCACATGTGGTTGTGGTGGTGGTGTCAGCAAAGAATTCCTGCCCAGGTAGGGTATATCCAATGGAGTTAAAATTCTTGTCCATTGCATAATATTTAAATCTAAACAATACATATCATTTAATCGACCCATATCAAAATCGTGGGATTGTTGATGGTGGAATTGTTCTTGTCGATGATTAGCTGTTGGACCACGTCCACCGAATATAATCATCCAACCATGATTTGGTAGGAGAGTAGACGAATGAGCTGCACGTGGTGATGGAAAACAACCAGTCACATCCGATTGTTTAATTAATTTCCAAGAATTTTTTTGTAGATCATAAACCAGCAGTTGACTATTCCAACCACCGTTAGCATCACACATAATCCAATTACTTGTATCATTTGGGTCGTGTAAATACGGCCAATGGAATAGATCGTTAGGCCAGGTAGATGATGGTATAAAATTTGGCCCATAACCACCGAATGCATACAGCCTACCATGCCAATATTCCATGCATAATTTATCACGAGGAGATGGGACCAATTGATGACAATGATCATTTTTATGTATTTTATCAACTTGTTGATGATGATGATGATAATATTCTAATTTTCGTTGAAATGATTTTAGCATTGTTAAAGTAAGGCATTGATGCAGAGCATTGTCTTGTGAAAGATAAGATAAACAACTTAGAATACCATGTCCACTTATCACTGAGGCCTGACAACAACAATAACAATCGTGTGATCGAAATTCTTTTGAATCATTTGAAAATTGTTTTACATTTTTATTATTTGATTTCTTACAACCTGTGGATAAATTAGAGCCGCCTAATTCAATTCGACATAATGCATTCACATGAATATTTCCAAGGGCAGAATATCCACCAAATGTATAAATACATGCAGGTTCTGTATCGTTGACAATGACAGCACTGCCTCCAGATGTTAACAAGATGGATTCATTAAACATATGATATTGTAGTGATTTTATATCCCAATGAATAGGCAGCAATTCTACACAATTTGTTAAGATATCAAATCGTGTTAAACCGGCTTGATCCATGAGAACCATCTGTATATATATATAGTGTGCGAGAGAGAAAAGGGATAGGTAGTCATTATTAATATTATTACTCTTTGAAACAATTAATTCCCTTTATGAATTTAGACAAAGTAATAAGACGTCTTAGTATATGTGTAAAACTTGGGCACTATGGTAGCTAGTAATTCTATATTCGTTCCTTTTATTAGATGTATCACACAGGGAGTGAAACCGTATTATTTACTGGATGACACAGTTTCGAACAAAATTTGTTACTGTTCACAATCATATCAATTATAATCACACGAGTACAAGACTTGAATTTTACAGTCTTCTTTGTTCCCTTCTATTTGTCATAGCGTTCAGACTAGCCGGGCATAAAAACCTAGTGGCAAAATCTAGATTAGTTGACCTGAATATGATAAGAAATCTAGAGAGTAGTTCGGCCGTAGATAGCACTACACCATGTGCAGTTACAAAACCATACAATAGAATGGGATGGGATGACAGTTTTAAAATCTAATGTCACAGCAGGGTGGAAGGAGAGATTGATAACTGAAGATTTGTTCATCGAATCAGCTGCAAATTAACACGTGTAGTAGGAATGATTCAACACCTGTCCAGCCAGATATCTGGAAAATTCTACTGCCCCTACGACGACAAATAGGAGAGAACAAAGAAAGCCATAAAACTCAAGTTTCAAAGTCGTGTGATTACAATTGACATGATTATGAACAATAAATTTTGTTCGAAACTGTGTAATCCAGTAAGTTTAACTGTTTCACTGTGTGATACCTCTAATAAACAAACTAATATGGAAGTAATAAGACATCATTTGTCTACAGCACATCACCTACGTCTGTGGAAGACAAAGATGATTCATTGATTGGACACTAGTTAGTAAAAAGTGCAGTATGTCTAGTCCTTTGTTTTAGTGCAGACTGGAGGTCTCTCGACCATCATCCACGCTTCTTAGACATTGTGGAAATGTAGTGATGATGAACATTTACCAACGTCTTAAGTTAATTATACATGGACAAGAAAATAAGTCATAAACATTTTACCTTATTATCATGAGGACCATATCCATTAAGGACATAAATATATCGTCCATGTGAAACTGCCGAATGTGCAGTTCGTGATAACGGATGCACTGCGTCTTTGATACCATTCCAACGTCTACTATATGAGTTAGTCATTTCTTCAGAAAAATATACTCATTATTATAGATAAATATCTGTAGAAGGAACTAAAAAGAAATAATTAAAATTAGACGAGGAATTTGCAGTTACTTATAGTACAATACATTATAGCAAATAGATCTGTGAAGGTAGTCAACTCAGTACGTTAGGGAAGTCGGAATGAGATGCGAAGACATTCAACCATCTTAAAGCATTAAAGGAGTACACTGCAAGGTACGAATAAACTGCTCTGATAAATAAAGCTGCTTGAGTGAATAGACATGAAAGGCTTTATTCCAAATGGAACACAAAACACAACCTCGTTATAAGATTACCTGTACATGAGGTCGTTAGCTAGTTCTCAGGGGATTCCACGAAACTTAAATCTCACCTAGTGAGAACCTTAAACATAAAAATCAACTGCCCCCATATTAAGATTTATTTGAGGTACAAACGACTCACCCAGCTAGGTGATTATTTATAAATTTATTTATCTCAACACTGTTTTCCCACTGCACTATCATTCTTACTATTTGCACAGAATCACGCTCATGTTAACGATTCTTCTCCCATTCCCGTCCGACTGGTACCATGTGATAACATATGTTCACAAGAAAAAATTCACCAAACAGGAATCCAATCCAAAGTAAATCCACTTCCTTTCAGACGAATCCTGATCTTTTTGTACCTCGTTCAGTATTCCCACATCTCTTTCAGTCCTTTCTGGAAAACTCGTTTTACTGTATTAAAGAAACTATTGGCCATTAAAGTGTCACTATTTTGTTTGTTTATTTGGGTGATTACTAAATAACTTCGACATCCAACTCGACAAAATTACCTAAAGCAAAAAAATAACCCCTTTAACCTGTGAAAAATGGTTCTACCGTAACTTATAGAAATAACTAATTCTCACCTTGGTGACGCAAGTGCCTAAAAGTGCGCGTTTATTTTCAAATTCCAATATTCAGATTTCGATGATAAGGATAGAAGGTTCTTGTGGCCTGTGTTAATCCTTGCAAAGTATATCTCTGCAGAGATCTAACTTCTCTTTGAAAGCGTTCACCGATGGAGCTGATACTGCCATTTGACTTATTTCGGATTCACACTGCAGATTCATTGGTTGATGATAGAAGGCTTGGAGACTATTTTAATCTTTTTCTAGCAAGATTCTGTGATTTTCAAAACCCTTTTTGGATGAATCAGCTGGGGTTGCAGATATTTCTTCTGAGAGTCGGTTCCAAGAGTTTATGACTCGGTGTGAGAACCAGTACTCAACAGCAATGTGATTTCTTCTTGGCTTTTGAACTCTCCTGCTGTGTCCTTTAAGGTGATCTCACCTGGTGGAAATGAAAAGAGAGAATGGGTCAGGTACGTTGTCATTATTTAAAATTTTAAACACTAAATAAATCTCTCAGGCTATGGTATGATAGGGAGAAGAGATTTAAACTGTCTAATCTTTCCTCGTGTGATAAATTAGTCATGCCGAGAGCCATACGTGTTGCCTTCCTTTGGACCCTTTCTAGGGTGTGTGAGTCCCCTTTAGGACAAGAACTGGCTGTCTGGCTGCCTGGATAGTTTTCCAGTCCTGATCTCACCAGAGATGTATCTAAGGAGATGAACATATCTCCGGTGATTCTAATAAAGGCTCTGCGAATTTCCCATAAGGATCTGAAACTACGTGCAGGCACCGTGCGACAGTGCACTGCAGTTCTTAAATCGTTAATAACTATGACACCTAAATCCAAATGAGTCTGAACTGATGAGTGTTATTCTTTCTAGTCAGTAGAAGCTGATACGTGCTTGTTCGATGCACGTAGTTGCATATTTTGGTACATTGATCGGGAGCATCCATTTTCTGGACCATTATGACAATCTTTTGAGGTATTCTAGTGATGTGAGCTCAACACTGTCGCTCTTCAGCTCTCTACTTATTTTTAAGTCATCTACGTTTAGGATTATAGGGGAATCAGTGAGCATAGATAATTCACTGAAATACAAAATAAATAGGAGAGGGCCAAGTTCCATGCCGTGTGGCACTCCACTACGCACTGCCGTCCAGGAAGAGAGTTTCAAGTTGATCCTTACCATCGGCTTCCTATCCATAACGAATTCCCTAATACAGTTTAGAAACCTGCCTTTCTAGCTCGATGAGTAGTCTTTTGAGGGGAACTTTATCGAAGGCTTTGCTGGAGTCCATGAACTCGACGTCTACAGGTCTTCTGTTGTTCCTTGATGTGACCCAACGTTCTCTTGCAGTGAGAAGATTTGACAGGCATACGAGATTTCCTCGGAAGCCACGCTATGCTCTTCATAACAAATCATTGTTTTCCATATATGCCATGAAACTTGTCTTGGTAGTTCTTTCCAGTATCTTGAATAAAGTGCTGGTGAGACTAATAGGCCTGTAACTTGAAGGACTTTGTCTTGTTCCTCCTTCGTGGATGATGGTTACTATGGCGTCGTTCCAGTCACGCGGTAACAGTCCATTTAGGAGAGATAGCCTGAAGATCGTGGTCAAAGGGTTGACTTTGTGATCTGATATCTCCTTGAGAATCCTTGGATGAAGATTTTGAGGACCCATTGATTTCCCTGCATCTAGTTTTATCTGATATTTGAGCACGATGTCTTGGTCGACGTCAACGAAATCTATCCCGTGTTCCTCGGGATTTGACGGGGAGGACGGCTCCTGTGTAAATATGCGGGAAAAGTAGTCTGCCATTGCTTCTACCTTTTCTTGATCTTCCTCTATTTTATCATTGTCAATAGTCGGGTTTGGGACACCATTGAATGTTTTATTCCTGAAGTTCATGTGCGAGAAAATTTTCTAAGGTTGTGCTATTAGATTCTAGGCCAGATATGCTTTGAACTTCATCCTTGATTGGCGGATTTTCGCGAAAGCTTTGTTCCTAGGATGGTTGTATAATTTCCTGGTCCCAGGAGTCTCAGGTGTGGCAAACACGCCCCAACACTTTTGTTCACGTTTGTGTAACTTACAAATTTCTCGGTTTATCCAAGGGGGACAATGTTTCCGACCCTTTGAGACAGACCAAGGAATGATAGGTTTAGTTCTTGGACGTAAATTTGTTTAAATTGGTTTCATGAGGCTCTTGCTTTGGGCCCTGGGTTGATGTACCAGTTGACTGAGTCGGTTGCTGAGACTACCGCACTTATATCAGCTTTCCAGACGTTTTGTCAAGCTGGCGTTTTGGACCATGATACTGCTGCTGTGAACTTGAAAGTGAGCAGAGTGTAAGGTTTGTGCGGTTGACTGTTGGGGCGATGAAGTTACAAACCATTAAACTTCGACGCTTCGATGTCCAGGAGCTTCTCTGTCAGGGAGTCATCTGCACTGCAGACGGGACTGAGGTGTAGAGCAATGAGGTCAATATCTCTGACTATGCATTTAAGTCTGCAGCGCAGAAGTTCGCGCGATTCACTTTCGTGAGCGAGCATTTCTTGAGGTGGATGACTACGCCACCACCTTTGCGGCTTAGCCGGCCCACCCAATGTACTTCAAAGTTTGGCAGGTTAACTTCGCTATCAGTGACATCGTGTATGGGCCATGTCTCTGTGATGATAACTACATCCGGATTTCCGGAGTCTGTCATATTACCAGTTCAGTCTGTTTGTTAAGCAGACTGAGGGCATTTGTATAGCCAACTGTCGGCTTTTGTGGAGACGTAAAGGCTAACTTAATGTAGGGTCAGGCTTTTGACACATCCTACATAATGTGTTTGGTTATGTTTGGTATTGTTGCTGCCAGTAGCTTATCTAAGAGGCGCTTGACGAACTTAAGGTCATGCTCGAATCCAGCCATGGGCTCGAGGGCCACTGACTCTTCCACTTTGTGGAGGATGAGCGACCTGCCAGAGAGATCAGGCTTAATTTTCTTGGCTCTCTCGCTCTGCGGTGCAAGTGTCTTTCCCCCTTCGTGGACAGTGAGGCCATTAGGTTGTCCTTTTCTCACCTTTTATGTGTGACTACATTGCGCCATTCACTGGCGTCCTCCTGCCCGCTATTCACCGGTGTGGATGAGGCTTTATCCGCCAGTCCTTGGGCGTCTTCAGCTGCAGGTTTTCGACCCCTGGTACACCTTTCCTTCGTGCCAGTCTTTATATTGCTGCTATTGGGGGCTTATCTAATGTTGTAGGGGCAGCATGGGTGTTTGAAATATGATGGGTGCTCTTCTGTGCTGAAGGGCACTCACCTCCTGACAGGGACACATCAGGAATGTTTATTGTTTTGTCGATGGCTCCAGTCACGTTATTGGTGTCTGAGCAGCAGTCTCTCTTCTACTGTAATGGAGGACCCCTGCCGTCTGGAAGCTTTAGAACCCCACTGAGAGTGGCAGTGACATTCGTTATACGAAATGTAGTCGTACTACAGCAGTCATTGGACAACCAAGTTTTCAGTAGCTCTTGTAAGCCGGAGGTTTGCACACGCCATGAAACCATTTCTTGCGGTTATCACACTGGAAACTGGCACATAACTCTTCCACGACGGTTCCTTTTGATAGACATGCTTTTCAGAGCGAAATGGGACGACAAGATTGAAATGTGACCTTATATATATGACCTAAATAATTTGGTGATAAAAAACCAATGATGGCACAAAAATGGATTTATATATAAATAAATTTATTCTCATGGTACAGTACATGAGGGACGCCAGTTTACAGGCATCATCAAATTGTTACAGAAATAGAAACATTTTATTCAGGCACAATTTACAGTCGATAGCAAAATATGTTTTACATGTGCGCTGGAGATTGTACATACACTTGATAAATGTTAATCCCATTAGTATAAAACAGCCTTTTCACCTATGTACAATCATATCTGTGCCCAGTTGGAAAAATCCGCTAGATTGTCAGTGAGTGCGAAACCTCAGGGAATACAGAAGTATTGTCTTCGCATTAACAAAAAAACCAGGTCTTTGGTGGATGGGCTATAAGTGCCTAGAAAAAAATAAAGCTTGAAGTCAATTTTCGTACATTACTTTGTTGTGTGCAGAATCCT